ATCTGCATCTGCATCTGCATCTGCTTTTTCATCGTTATCTGCATCTGCATCTGCATCTGCATCATCTGAATCCGATTCTCTCTCCGCTCCTGACTCCGATCCCCTTCCCACTCCTTGTTCTTCTTCTCGTTCTCGTGTTTCTTCCGATCCTGGTGCACGGGGAGCGACCCGATCGCCGGGGGGGGTGCAGCCCGATCGGTCCTTGTCCTTGTCGTCGTTGTCCTTGTCGTCGTTGTCCTTTTCCTCGTTGTCCTCGTCCTCGTCCTTCCCGCGGCCTCGCTCGCTGCCTTGTTCCGGAGAGGGCGACGGTGGCGGTGCGAGACCCCCCGGTGTTTCTGCGGTTGTTTCGGTTTCTGCTTCGGTTTCGCCCCGCCCGCCCTGCTTCGGAAGCAGGCATTCGTCCCCCTTCGCCGAAAACTCCCTTCGATCGGGATCGGGATCGCGAGCACCGCCGGTGGGTGCTCCCCCCTTCTCGTCGTCGCTGCAATGGTGGACGGACATGCGGTGCGGTGCGATGCAGTGCGGTGCGGTACTATGCCAGCGCTGCGCTACGCTACTCTGCTCAAGGAAACGTGAAAGGACGCCTTTGGTGTGGTCTGCCCGCAGTGCCTTTGCACCGCGCTGGGGGAAAAGGGTTTCGCTGTTGCTGTTGCGACAAACAAAGCTGTTGTTCTCCTTTCCGAGACCAAAATCGATGCCCACACCAATACGGCACCGCTATCGATTGCTGTACAGCACGGTAACTCGTGCGTGCTGTTACGGCTGCGATTGAAAGGACAATACCAGGTACGTACTTCACTTCTACGTAGCACTGTACAGTATCAACCACAAGAACAACAACAGCATCGATKGTTTGGTTCGATGCCCGCTGATTCGATTCTTCGTGTGCGTTGTTGTTGTTGTTTCCCGGGGTCTCTCTTGGACAAATGCGGACGAAACGTCTTGGCTCGCGGTTTCGGGATCGGTGCGACGTCTTCTCGTTCCCGCGGAGAGGAAGAAGCACAGATTGTTATAACTATGACAGCTAGGACAACAATGATAATAATGATACTGCTGCTGCGAGCAAAGYACGAGTTACTCGTGCACTCCGTCAATACAAAATGTGTCTCTAGAGAGAGAAGAAACGTGAACGGAAAACAAAAACAGGGCCCAGGGTTCGAACCATCTGTGCGTTTCGTAGGCCTCGTACGATACCCTACCGTACCGTACTACTATCATATCCTATCCTACGCTACGGTATTGTACCAGACCCGTTCCGAACGGCGTTGAATCCTGCATGGGTCCAGGAAAGCGATTTATTTTGCACGATGCAACGAGTACAAGTACTTGGTACTTGTACTTGTACCYGTACAAAACACATCAAAAAACTCCTGTCGCACGAAGTGTCACGTCGGATGCTTGCTGCCTGGCTGGCTTGCCTTGGTGGCGTTGAGAAAAACCGTGACAAGAATGTTCCGTGTGGCTACATACGGTACCGTTCGTTCAATACAGTACAGTACAGTACAGTATAGTACAGTACAGTACAGTACATAGATATACGGTATCCTTTCCATTCGTTTCGTTCGCTCTCTCTTGCCTTCTTTTGCCTGCCTTCTTTGCTTCCACGCTCATTTTTGTTCAAGTGTCCCCGCAGCGATTGATACGACTGGAAGTATAAGTACGAGTACGTACTCCTACTTWAGTAATTGAACGGAACCCGTAACCGAAAAGAGTAAGGGTCATGCGAAGAATATCTTGGCGCTCCTCTCTCCTCTTGCTAGTCCGATCATCGGGACTTGTAGGATTTTCGTGAATTATGTACCTATGTATTATGTACAGTAGAATTGTACACGYTTCTGTCGTGTTGATTGAGTCACACCCTACCGTACCCTGGACCCTCGACCCTGGACGTTCGACGTACAGGTACCTTGTATGTACCGTACGAAGTAATATGTAATGATATCTATGTAGGGTACGAGAGTACGGTACGTACCCTAGTATGTATTCAAAGAACTASGGTACCGCATACCGCAACAATCGACGTCGGTCCTTCGGTCCCATCGCATGCACGTACCCTCACGCATGGCCCCATCGGACATTCATCAGATATAAGCCCCTGATCGTGAAATACTCCAAAACACCGAGTCAAAAACTACGGTACCGTATTGCTCAATACAGTACGGTACCGTAGAATTGAATGGATGCCACCGGTCATAATTCATATGCTTGCGACCGACGGGATTCGGAACATGCCGTCCGTCCAGTACGTAACCATTGCATTAGAAGAAAGAGTACTGTACGGTACGGTAGTACAGTTCTGTACTTCGAAGTACGAAGTAGAACTCGTACTTGTATTTTGTTATGCCAAACCTACCGTGCCGAACCACGGTTTGGGTTGTGCTACCGTATCGTCCAGTATCGTACCGTGCTGTAGGTACGAGTACGTACAGGTACGTACAACCCTTGTACGAGAACCTTCTGTCCTTCCGGAGAACAAACTCCCACTCCGGAACAGTACCAGACTCGAACGTACCGTACCGAAAGAAACCCTGCAACAAGCAACAACGATTCCCTCCGGCAACCAACCCGGGGAGACAAGGACAAGGGTTGCACAAGAGCAAGCACAAGAGCAAGCACAAGAGCAAGCACAAAGACAATTACATAGACAATTACAAAGACAATTTCAAAGACAAACAAGCACATACCGGAGCAGTGAAATCAGCTCCGTGCCGCTATTGTTCTGTGTCCCCTCCGAGCCGCTGATACTCGGTGCCACTCGAATCGAACCAACAACACATCGAGGAACGCACTGACACACACACACACACACACACACACACACACACACACACACACACACACACACACACACACACACACACACAGCAACAACAACAACAACAACAACAACAACAA